GGTTGGGTCACAACAGGAGGAACTGTATTTAAAGGGCCAGAAGGTTGAGAACCACTGGGCTAGGCCCAGCCACAGACACTCAGCACTCATCTCCTACACCCCCACAGCACACTCTCCCCCCAGGATGTGAGGCCTCAGCAGGCCTGAAAGCATCAACTGCCAGGGCCTCCACACAGGCAAAATCAGGGTTAGTCACCCTTTCTGGTGCTCTTCTCCCTCCCCTCTCCACACTCTGGACTCAGGGTCCAGACTCATGATGTTAGGATCTGGATTTCAATCTCACGCTGGGCCAGAGGAGCCAGGCCCTGCCCAATACCCAGCGAAGGAAGGGTAGCAGCAGAGGCAACGTCACACACACAGCAAAGCAAGTCAATGCCCCAGTCCCACCTGGAGGGCAGACTGCCAGTCCCTCCTCTCCCTTCTGGTTGTTACAAGGGTCAGGCTCTGAACCTTAAGATTATCAGGTTCAACTGGATTCACAGGGTAGTGGCCAAAAGCACAAGGCCCAGCTTACCTCGACCACCTGCCCCTTGTACTCTTGGCCTTGCCTCACAGGCATCTCCTTAACAAAAGGGATCAGACGGTTTCTTTTCTATAGTTCAGGAGTTCACAAAATGTTTTTAGCCATGTATTACTTTTATAATGAAAAATGCTTGCCCGGCCGGCGTGGCTCAGTGGTTGAGCATCATCAACCTATGAACCAGGAGGTCGCGGTTCGATTCCCGGTCAGGGCACATGCCCGGGTTGCAGGCTCAATCCCCAGTGGGGGGCGTGCAGGAGGCAGCCGATCAGTGATTCTCTCTCATCATTGATGTTTCTCTCTCTCTCCCTCTCCCTTCCTCTCTGAAATCAATAAAAATATATATTTTTAAAAAAGAAAAATGCTTAATAAGATGGTGAATTCTAGTAAACGGTCTCCCATCTAACATGGGTGAGAACCACAGACCCAGGTCGCTGCTACTGAGTAGCCAACAAGGTCGGCCAGGAGTCTGACCTATGGCTCCACTGGGCTTTGTCTGAACTGGGTTTCCCTGGGTCTTCCTCCCCTCCACCCTCTAAGGCAGGCCAGAGAGCTTAAGAGTAGAATGATAGCCAACAGCCAGGTCTAAAGCCCCAAAACACCTCTCCACACCTTTAGTCCGGGCCAGATCCCCCAGGAAACCACTTTTCTCCTCTCTCGCAGAATCTCCATGTTGCCTCCTTTCTTCCCTATACACTATTACACAGGCGGTTGGGGCCATGCAGATCCTTGCAGCATGGACTTCACATATTCAGAATACTTTACAGTCTACGGAGCATTCTGGTTTCAGACTCAGGCTGCTTACGTTTAATTCCTGGCTTCCCCACCTGGTAGCTACATAAACTCGGTCCAGCCACTTAACAGCTCTGTGCCTCAATTCCCTTATCTGTCCATTGGAAAAAAATCAAAGAGCATATCTCAAAGAGCTGTTAGGAGGACTAGCCGAGATAATCCATGTAAAATATTTAAGACATTGCCTGGCCCTAACTGGTTTGGCTCAGTGTTTGGAGCATCTGCCCACGGACTGAAGGGTCCCAGGTTCAATTCTAGTCAAGGGCCCGTACCTCAGTTGCAGGCTCAATCCGCAGGCGTGAGCAGAAGCCAACCAATCAATGTGTCTCTCTCTTTTACATGGATGTTTCTCTCTGTCTCTCCCCCTCCCTTTCACTCTCTCTAAAAATTAATGGAGAAAATATCCTTGGGTGAGGATTAACACAAACAAAAAGACATTGCTGGTATTTAGTAAGTATTCAACAAAAGTCAGCTAATAACAAATATGATGATAACATTATCATATTTGGACATCACAGCAACACTATGGAAAGGCAGGCCAAAGAGAATGCTGACAAGGAAACTGAGGCTCAGAGAACTGAACCACTTTCCTGAAGTTACACAGAAGGTGAGGAATGGAGCCAAAACTGCAGCTAAAGCCTACACTGAAACCCTCCGCACATCCTGTTATCACATAGCTCCAGGCTCCCAAGGCCCTGCTCTTCCTCCAGACACACTGCCTTCAGAAATTCAAAAGAGCTGAGATCTAAGAACAACCTCACAACTCACTAGCCATACAGGTATATATAGCCACCTAACTTATTGGAGGCTGTTTCTGCTTCTATAACATGGGAGTAATTATCTACATTAATGTTATGAGGCTCGAAAACACATAAAAGTGCTTTGTAAAAAGTGCAGAAGCCATACAAGTAGAAAAAAAATCACCTGACATGGCAACAGATGGTATCTAAGTCTTAAAATAAAATATCTATACAATCAATATTATAAGGATTACAGACAGGAAAAGGATGAGCCAGAAAGAAAACGGGTGCCTGGCTATGCCTCAGATTTTAGGTTGTTTTTTGGGTATGTTGAGAGGAAAGATCTACAAACACTTTAAGTTGTGAACACAGTATGAGTAGAGACAGAAACAATTTTGTTTCACTAGGGAATATCAAAGAAGACTAGCTGGACTGAAGTGAAGAGTTCAAGACGAGTTCGTCTAGTAAACCATAAGCCTGTTAAAATGGAGCCCACAACTTCTTCTCTTTATGACCCCATCACCCTTAGCTCATGGAGTCAAATATTTATTGGCTAAATAAATACGTTAATATTGAGATATAGTAGAAGGTTAAATATGGATAGTCAGGGAGTTTAACATCATGTAGAGATAGATGGACTTGATCCAACAACAACAGGAAGCCAGTCTCTTCCTGAGCAGGGGACTAGCATAATGAAAACCACTTTAGGAAGATCAAACTGGTGGCTCAGTGGGATGGAGTGGAGACAGGAGCAACTTGGTAAAGATGGGGATAGCAGCAAGGGGGCTCCTGCAATAAAGAGCAAAGGGTGAGGAGGGTCTGAACCAGGTTCATGAGAGAGAGACAGAGAGCAGAGGAAAGGGGCCCATTTTGAGACAGTAGCAAAAAGCCCTGGGAAGACCAAAAGATTACACATGGGATAAGAGGCAGCAGGCTGCATGGGCGCTGGAGACAGGGAGACCTGGCTACAGCTTTGGTTCTACCTCCTCACCTGTATGACTCTGGTCAAGATATTTAACTCAGAGCCCCAGTTACCTCATCCGTAAAAAGGGGGAAGTAATGCCTCCCTCACAGAGAAGTGGTGAGATTCACTACGATTGAAACAGAGCATTTAGCACAGTGCCTGGCACAGAACATGTGCTCAAGGGATTGCTGACATCGTCTTCATCATGATTGAGAGGGTACATTAATGATGACATGCACACACACAGTAGGGACTCAAATTCTGCATAAATAAATGAATGCACGAATAAGTGAATGAATGAATAAACTTGGGAGTTTTCAAGCATGAGTAATGGAAGAATGATGATTGAAAACATGAACAGATTTGGGCGGGGGGATGGGAAGGAAGACTGAAAGCATTAGGAGAAAGTAAGTCTTGTTCTTAGGGCCTCCTCTGGGGCAAATTTATGTGTGTACACTAACACATGTATTCCACTATCTCCTTCCAAAATGCACCTGTCATGCAGGCAAAACGGCCCATTATCTCCCATCTACAGGTGATGGACTGAGTCTCAGAAGTCAAAGACTCACTCTGAGTCTCATGGCCAGAAAACGGCAGGGGGCACGTTTGACAGGTACCTAATCCTTCCCCAGCCGACTGGGCCCCACCCCATGTCACATAGGACAGTTCCAAGTTGCATGTTCCCTCAGCCAAGGAGAAGAGATATTCGCTAGATGTCTAATCTATTTTCCTCCCCAATGATATTAAATACGACTAAAATGTCTAGGAAAATAGGAAGAGAGGAAGGGAAAACCGTGTCTGATAAATTGGTTACTCATGATCCTGGAGAACATTTCAGAATATGACAGGATAACAGGTAGACTGCTGGGAATTAAGGAGAAAACGCCTCTTTGGCACCCAGCCTGCACCACTTCTCTCTTGCTTTTACTGACACCCCCGCATCCTTTAAGCCCTTGACCTCCTCTTGTCTTGCCTCACCTAACCTTGACCGTGGCCTAACCCAACTGTTTGATTTCCCTGATCCCACTCATAAAGGAAATCCAGGCAGTCTTCAGTTCACACTTGAACTGAACTGCATTAGGCACTGGGCACACACTAGTTTGGTTACAAAGAGATAAAATGAAACACAACGGTAATTAGCAAGATCCAGATCTTAAGACTAGGGTAAAACTGGACATCTCTGAAAGGATGGCAGAGAAGGGGTAAGTGTGGATGGAAGTCCCTCAGGAAAGAAAAGGTTATGCTCATTGAGGGGGGAAGGGAAGGTGGGGGGGGGGCGGCTGGAAGCTTGGAAGGCTGGATTCCAGATACACACAGGAACCCAGAGAGAAAACGCATACAGAGCCCTTTGTTCCCAGGTCCTACTCCTATATCTGCTTTACAGATCTCATACGGAGAGGGCTAGACCCTAAAGGGACTTTCTTTACCTCTCCAGCTCTTCATTATCCCCAGAACTGTCTGCAGCCCATTCCCAATCTGCAGCTCTATCCCCCTCCCAAAGTATCCCCCTACTCCAGGAATACCCAGTGACTGCCAGGCCAACCTCCCAAGGGACCAGACCTCCAAGAGCCAGCAAGGAAAGCTACACAATATGTCCCACTTATGCTCAATAAAGGACCTTTGGCAGGAAGGCAACAGGCACTAGAGCGAAGGTCTGAACTCAGGAACTGCAACCTTCCAGTGTCAGCAGGAGTCCTCCTTAACAACCTGTTTGAAGTTCCTGCTGGTTTCTCTCCAGGAATCAACCAGCAAGTCCCTGGCACTAGGACCCTGCAGACAGGGAAGCCTGAGCCTGCGCTCTAAAAGGAGAGATGCACCATTTCACAACTTCAGCAAAAGCCAAAGCAGCCAACAAAGCCACAGCCACCTGGGCTGTGCTGGGCTCTGCCTTTTGAGCAGCTCCCTGGCCACTCCCCAGAAACAGAGCATTCTGTCCTTTTTCTTTTTAAATCCACGTCATCACCTGATCATAATGGAAATCAATCTCAAGTCACCGCGCAAAGGCGTATCCATGGCAACCTCAAGAGGAAGGACAGAAAAATGATGCTCCAGTGGCTGCAGCAGAAAAGGTAAGTCCATTTCTCTTCTATCCATACCACCCACCATCTTCCCCTTTCATTCAAGTCAGGCATGGACCTCACCTGCACATTCCAACTGTCACACCAATGGGGAAAATACAAAACGTGGGTGTTAATAATCTATGCTATTATGTAAGGTCATAGGTCTTTCTGGTCCCATAATGGCAGAAAAAAATTCTTTTTCTGGCTGGCACAGGCAAGATCTCTTTTCTTATTCACTGTCTCAGGTGACACAGTCTCAGTCTACCTTATACTGGTAGTCTCTTATCTGTCTGGTCAGGCTGCTGAGATGCCACTCAAGGATTTCCGAGTTCCCTACATATTTGTAAAAAGCCAGCAACGACACTGACCTCGCCATCCCGCCCACCCATGTCATGATCATGCTCACAAACTGGCATGGTAAGCCTCCCTCCTTAGCAGCCCTAAACTCCAGCCCCTTGAGCACTACTGAGCCTAAGTAATCCTCTATGCCTCAATTTCCTCTTCTGTAAAATGGAATACTTTTTCTAAAGGAATTGTTGTAAAAATCACATTAAGAATGCCTGAACAGTCCTAACCAGTTTGGCTCAGTGGATAGAGCGTCGGCCTGCAAGCTCAAGGGTCCCAGGTTCAATTCCAGTCAAGGGCATGTGCCTTGGTTGCGGGCACATACCAGTAGGGAGTCTGCAGGAGGCAGCTGATCAATGTTTCTCTCTCATCGATGTTTCTAACTGTCTATCCCTCTCTCCTCCTCTCTGTGAAAAATCAATAAAATATATTTTTTTAAAAAAAGAATGCCTGAATAGCCCTAACTGGTTTTGCTCAGTGGATAGAGCATTGGCCCAGGAACTGAAGGGTCCCAGGTTCGATTCCAGTCAAGGGCACGTGCCTGGGTTGCAGGCTTGATCCCCAGTAAGAGGTGTACAGGAGGCAGCGGATCAATGATTCTCTCTCATCACTAATGTTTCTAACTCTCCCTCTCCCTTCCTCTCTGAAATCAATAAATATTTATTTATTTATTTATTTATTTATTTATTTATTTATTTTAAATGCCTGAACAGCACTTAGAAGAGTGCCTCGTATAAAGCGCTCAATAAACGCCAGCCATTATTATTATGAGGAAGAGGACGGAGAGACTATAGTATAGTTGGGGGGTACTCAACACTCTTGGAGGGTATTTCAAGTCTGCGTCTCTCTCTTTCCTCTGGACAGCCGTTTCAAGTTTCCCTTACTACTTTCAAGTCCCTATTCCTGTCTGAGCCCACTCCAGCACCCTCACCCCTCAGCACATAGCCTCGTTTGAGAAAGAAGCTGAGCCTATTACATAAGAATTCCTTTGCAAATTTAGATATATCTTCAATAGTCATTGTCTCTTCCCACATTCTTCCCTTTCTTGTCATTCCTCTTCCAAGGAAATGACGACCCCTTCTTTTCAGAGCCGACCCCTACACCCTTCTCCGGGGACCTGATTTTACAATCACTTCTCTTGTGCCTTCAATTGCACCCTCTCTCCTGGCTATTATATATATATATTTCAAAGAGGAAGGGAGAAGGATAGAAAGATCAATAATGAAAGGAGAATCATATTGGCTGCCTCCTGCATGCCCGCTACTGCACATGCCCATGCCCGGAATCGAACCCAGGACCCTTCAGTCTGCTCCCCGATGCTCTATCCACTGAGCCAAACCGGCTAGGGCTCTGCTGGTTCTTATATTTCATCAAATAACCTGTGCTCAAGACTCTTCTATTCTAGAAAAACTGTTTCTAGTCTCTGTTACCTCCTCTGCAAGCTGCCACCATCTCTTTTCCTTCCTTCCCTGCAAAACTATTCAGTGAGTACACCGTCCCTGCCCTCACTTCCCATCCACTCCTCAATTCGCCGGACTCCCTTCCCTACCCCTCCCTCCACCGAAGCTGCTCACACTAAAAAAGTAAGAGAGCCCTGGTGACAACCTCCTAACTGCCCAATCTCAACGTGCATTTCCCAAACTCATCCTACCTGATCTCCCCCTGAGCAACTGAGGCTGCTGATCCTTTTCCTGGAACTTCTTCCTCCCCTGGCTCCCTGGACATTCTCTCTCACTTTGTGTACCCATCTCTCCCTCCTCTGTCATCTTCAGCCTTCTCTTGAGCGTGGCTGAGCTCATTTACCCCCACAGCATTGACTACCACTTTCACCTACCTGGGCACGGACGCTCTGAATCTCAGACCCACACTCCCACCTGTCCGCTAAGTGCCACAGACCCAAGTTCAACATGACCCAAAACACACTCTTCCCCCTTCCTCCTCTGCATTCCCTCTTTACTTCTGGCACCACCAACCATCTAAAACAGGAAACGGAGTCATCCCCAGCAACACCCTCTCTCTTGTTCTCAACAACCCATCAGTCATTATGTCAGATTAATTGTCTCTACAATCTCTCAGACCCTCCCCTCCTTCCCATCCCCACTGAGCTAGCCTTAGTTCAGCCTTAGACCACCCCAGGTTATTACAAGAGTCTCCTGACAGCCCTGATCCAGATTCTCCCTTCAGTCTCCTTCCGGTTAGCCCCAAACACAATCTCACCACCTCCCTGCCTAAACCCTCCAGCGGTTTCCCTGCCCACAAAACGGAATCATCTTAGTACAGCACTACAAGCCATTACAAACTTGGCTTCGTTGAGCATAGACTCATCAATCACCTCTCCTTTGATCCCAAGTTCTCTTAAATTCCAGCCACTTGGATTTACTCACCTTCCCCCTTATGCCTTTGCACATGTCACCAGGGCCATTCTCCCTCGTCATCTTCAAGGCTCTGCTCAATGGTCACCTCTTTCCTGCGGATTCCCTTGACACCTCCATGTAGAGCTAGTTATTCCCTCCTCTGCTTCATACAGCGTTTTGGACATATCTCTTATGATATCACATTTTATATAAAATACTGTTTCCCTTATTCCATTATGAATTCCTCCAGGGCAGAGAGTTTTTATTCACCTCAGTATCCCAAGCACGGAACACGAAAGACACTCCATGTTGAACAGAAGCCTGAACCAGCACCAGGCCCTGGGGGATATAAGCTGGCTCTGAGCTTCCACATAGAGCAGCTCCGCCATTGAGGACTGCACCACGGCAGGAATTACCATGCACACACACACTCCACAGAGATAGCTCTTTCTTCTCCAGATAGGAGCCTAAGAAACTAAAATTGCAGAGACAGCCCTAACTGGTTTGGCTCAATGGATAGAGCGTCGGCCTGCGGACTCAAGGGTCCCAGGTTCATTTCCGGTTGAGGGCATGTACCTTGGTTGCGGGCACATACCCAGTAGGGAGTGTGCAGGAGGCAGCTAATCGATGTTTCTAACTCTCTATCCCTCTCCCTTCCTCTCTGTAAGAAATCAATAAAATATATTTTAAAAATAAATAAATTAATTAAATTGCAGAGACAGCCCCCAGGCCCTATGGAACTGGGCAGTGACACTAAGTTTCAATCTCTAGGCTTCCAGGGTGAGAGGGCCACAGCCAGACCACTAGGCTCTTGAGAATGTGCAGCTCTTCTGGGAAAACAGCTTTAGTGGGTGTGACAAGGGTCCAGTCTCTGCTTCGGTGAACACGCCTCCCCCCGCTAACCCCCTCAGGGATATGTAGAAACTTGGGAAGGTCAGACTGGATACCAAATTTGCCCATCAGCCAAGTGCAACTGGTACTAGCCTGAACTTCAAAAGAAAAATGATATAAAGCCAAATTCAGAGTCTCCAGGATGGCAAGCCCTAAATATCTGAACCAGTGAATGCTCAGCACTTACTTTCTCAGGGGACTCTGAGGACCCAGCTCTCATGTCCCTTGGTATGGGACAGATAATCCATGTCCCCTCGAATCCTCTGCTACAATCCCTCCCAAACCGTAACTCCAGGAAGCCACTAGCCATGAGGGCAGAGTAAACTTACAGTGGCAGTTGCCAGTGGTATTATGATCCTCCCAACTATTTTGAGTCCTCCCTAACAACTTCTTTCCTTTGTAGCCTCATGTCAGTCAGGCCCAATTTATCAATTTTTCCTTAGTGTTGCCTCCAGCACCCTTCCTCTATCCCCCATTACCACTATCATCACTTTGGTGTGCCACTGAATGGCTTCGAGAATTAAGGCACATCGTTCCCCCTCTTTGGTGTCTCAGCTATAACACAGGGTAACAGCTACCTCACAGGATTATTAGGTCGAATGGGATCATGCCTGTGAAAGGTTCTGTAACCTGTGAAATGTTATACATAAATATAAGGCACTACTATTATCAGCAACCTCACCCTCTATTACTGATATGTGAAGCGTATCTGGCTCCCTGCCTCTCTGCTTTCCCATTTCCAACCACATTATACACCACGGTAAAACTATACATTCTAAATGCTGCTTTCACTAACATGCCATTTCTTACTTGAGCCAACGGTCCTGGATCTGACTTATGCACTGTCATCTCCGCATTACTGTCAGCTGCTTTCCCATAGAGCAGCGGTTCTCAACCTGTGGGTCGTGACCCCTTTGGGGGTCGAACGACCCTTTCACAGGGGTCGCCTAAGACCATCGGAAAACACATATATAATTACATATTGTTTTTGTGATTAATCACTATGCTTTAATTATGTTCAATTTGTAACAATGAAAATACATCCTGCATATCAGATATTTACATTACAATTCATAACAGTAGCAAAATTACAGTTATGAAGTAGCAACGAAAATAATTTTATGGTTGGGGGTCACCACAACATGAGGAACTGTATTAAAGGGTCGCGGCATGAGGAAGGTTGAGAACCACTGCCATAGAGGATGCTTTCCCTAGTCTTGCAAGCCCCACCCATCCTTCAAAATCCAGCTAAAGCCCCACTACACTCCATGAAGGACTACATTTAAAAGAAAAGAACTGAGCCCTGGCCAGTTTGGCCCACTGGATAGAGCACTGACCTGTGGGACAGAACACATGCCCAGGTTGCAGGCTCGATCCCCAGTAGGGGGCATGCAGGAGGCAGCTGAGTAATTCTCTCTC